AAATTCAAATATGGGTTAGGGGAATTAGGGTTATTACATTCTCTTTAAAATTAATTACCAATGAGGGTAATTAATTAAGAGAATTAAATTAGGGTGGAGGGAAGGATTAGAATTCAAAAAATTTGAGCATGGGGAGGGCCAACGACATAGAGAGAATAGGGGGGAGATTGGGAAGGGTTTAATAATTTCCTAATGCACTCCTTTTAATTAGGGATGAAATAGGAATGACCAATCTAATTTAAAATTAAATTAGATCCCAATTTATAAACTTACCTAATTTAGCTTTCTTAGTTTAGGAAAGTATTTGAAATTCGAACTTTGAATTTCAAATTATTTAGATCTTTCCCAAACCAATTAGGCTGTTTTAGGTAGGTGTTAATGATGATTGATTTCATTGTCCAAGGGGAAATAGGAAGGGGGTGGCTGGCGGTGGGGCTAGGGCTAGCTAGGCTGGCGGTTTGCGGGTGAAGGTGGGGTGGCCGGCGGCTTAGAAGGAGATTGGGGACAAAAGACCGGCCGGTGGAGGAGGTGGGGGTTGGATTGGCCGGCGATGGTGGGAGGGAAGATAAGGTGTCCGGTGATAGGGAAAGGAAAACGAAGAACCATGAGTCCCGGAATCCATCGGCGACTGACGGGTGATGCAAAAGACTCCTCATATGGTTTCTCCTCTCAAGAACTCACAAAGAGATCAAACACGAAAAGCTGAAATTTTTCATTTATAATCATCATCATCATCCAAATACAAGACCAAGGACCTAATATATAGGTCTCATAGAGAAAGAGAAGAAATGACTAAAATGCCCATAGGGCTACAACTCAACTCAACACACAAGCAAGGGTGCAAACATAAATAAAGAAAATCTAAACTAATACATAAAATATGAAATATATAAGCTCCTCATCATAGCCGTTGATCTACGATGCTTTCGGCGGTAGACATTTCAGAATCTCCTACTGATCTCCTCATCAGATAGTCTTTTTTTTAAAAAAAAAACAAGAATTATGAATTGTGATCCAAGTGGTTTACAAATGCTAAAAAGATGGCTCTACTTGTTTCAGAGGAAGTGGAGGAAAGGGAATTATGAATTGTGATCCAAGTGATTTTGATGAAGCTGAATCTCATCCTGTCCATTGCTATATTCCTATTCGACTACTTGTTTGGAATGGTCATATTTGGATTTGGATTTATCATATTCTGATGGAACTCTTGATTAAATTTCACTCTGCTTGCCAAAACGCACACAATGAAGTGAAATTTTTTATTTTCCTTCATTTATTAATATCATAAAATATTTTTTCGTTGCATTTTTTATTCTAACTTTTGTTTTTATTAATGATTAAATAAAACATAAGTTTTGCTGCTTTCATGAATCATATGTTAAAATGATGAATTAATCTAAACATTAGTAATTTCCTGTATTACATGTCAAGTCCTTAGTTGTGGCGCATAATTTATATTGTCATAATGTCTGCAACTCTTTATAGGAGAGAATCGGAAGTTGGTTCACTGAAGTTTTCTACTCTTCCTACGAATGGCAATCCATCTATTGGGAACTTTATTTGGGGAGCATTCTATTATTCTTGAATGTTGCGCTTACCAGCTATTATTGTAGTGTACAATGGTTCAGAGAAAGAACTGAAAGATTTGATGTTTCCTTCTCTTGTAGGATTTTACTGCGGAACAAGACGATTTAACTCCAATGCAGGGATGGAAGTCTTACTATGCAGCTACAAAAGCCATTGTCAATGTAAATGCAGAATTCTGCAACATCATTAAAGAAAGATCACTACCAGCTATGGGTCGTTTCTGGCTTCATGCAGACTATGTGAAATGTATTCACAGTTCAGGGGAACTTTATATGGGGTATGACCTGAATCTAAGCCTAGGAGACTATTGAATATTAACTTTCTCAATGCAAAAAGCATGCACTAGAAATCATTTCAGATATTCTTTTTACTGATTCTTATTGGCCTTGGTAATGAAACTTTATTCCTTTCTCGCAGATGCTTAATATTACTTCATATCAGTTTGGTTTGATAATTAATCAAGTTTGGGTAAACCATTAGCAACTCAAAATCAGCATTTTTAAGTGTTAGTCATCCAACTAAGTGACGCGTACAAGTGGAGCAACTTGATTCAAAGTACGTTTAATAATGAACCAACTCAAAAATGATTGAGTTGACTTGGAATCACATTGTTCTTTATGACATGGAAACTTGGTCTTAAGAGCCCTGATTGTTAATCAATGATTAACCTTACTAATAAATTGTCATAATATGGTCGCGTGCCCATGTGAATTTAGAAGGATAAAGCTATTTATCATCGCATATTGCTCACCATCCATAAACAAATTATATAACAATGATTTAAAGTAGTTAACTATCTTTGCTAATATAAAAAGTAACTAAAATTTGTGTTTTAGTTACTTAAAATTCTGGCCATTTAATTTTTTTGTTGGATGATGAAAGGTGTTTGAAGGCAAGTTGATCTATCCTTCTAATGAATAGTAGTCATACTCTTTGTGAGTGTGAACAATATCCATTTTAAAGGATGGATATACTTATCCTCACATATTTCATCTTCAATCAATAATTTTTAAAGATTATGATTTATGTTGCAAAAAATTATTGGAATTATAAAAAGTAGCTAAAAAGTTATCTTTTAGTTATTTGAAATTCTAGCCATTAAATTTTTTGAAAACCTATATTCCATCATTATCAGCCTTACGCATTTCTTTCGTGCTGTCTTTAGTAATCCTAATTTTCAATTCATTCTTGTTGACTATGGCTGGGCTCAAAAACCTATGTGAGGTTTTGAATTTTTGATATTATGGTCAGCTGTAATATCAATTTAATAAATGCAAAGTGACAGAAATCTGTTTGCGCATGCACCCTTCTAGGGTTCATGATTGTGAACAATTTGGTTACAGAGTAGCTTTCCCGTCATTGTGGGAGTACCAACAGCTGTATATCATAACACAATTTTACTAGATGAAGCCCAACTGTTTTGGTTTAATCTTGTAAATAATTATTGGGGATCCAAGTGCTTATCACATGCAAAATGAGATTTTTTTTAATACTTTTAAGCATAATTCTGAGCTGTCCTATTATAGACTTTGGAAATTGGGCAACATTTATAGCTGATTATGACTTAATAATGATTTATCTGAAAAAAACTGTTTTGACTTTAATCTATTTATACCTCATGACGTTTTTATATGCTTGTATTATCACACATTATGGTTTGATGTATGGCTTTTATCCTCTTTTTTTTTTTGGTTATTTTGGTTTTGCTTATTTCTCAGAATGATATGAAAATTTCCTTGTTTCCTAGTTGATATTTTCATGGTAGACCATGTTTATGACATCTTTTTTACTGTATTGCTTTATTACGTCTATTAATAATTATGTAGCTGTTCTTGTGTTGAAGGCATTGTATGGCTTAAGTTTTTGTTTCAGCGCTCTCACCATCTACCCCTCTCCCATTTCTACAGCTAGAAAATTAACCGGGAAACCAACATTTTAAATATTGGTTACAATTTTTTCATTTAACCTTTCTATGGTTGCTTTTTAAACATAGAAAGGAAAACTTTACACTCAATAGAATGGAAGATTACGCATATTTAAGGGTTGTAGCTTGAAAACCATTTTTTATTTTCTGGCCTTTCTCATATTTAATCAAATAGAATAATTGGCGTCTGGAGAGCAAGGCAATCTATTGAGGATTATCAATTAGGATCCATGCAATCTATTGATTAAGCTTTTGGCCATATAGGACGTATATTGCGGGGTGTAATTTCATTGCAAGTGTGATTTTTTAAAATAAAAAAGGCAGTGCAAGTTAATTACTAGAATATACCAGTAGATCAGAATGTGTATTCTGTACACAATGTAACTTGTGATTTTTGTTTAAGATAGAACATATCATTCTATTCGGTGATGGCTTCATAGTATCACCCATAATTTTGAACTAGTAATTTGATGGAAAGAAAGACTAGTTGATGTAGAACTACAATGCTAAAGTAATTTGGTAAGAGCTTGCATGACTTACTGATTAGAATAATAAAGATTATGACTATTAGCAAATAAAATATAAGAGCGGTCCCGTTTAAACTAAGTTGCAAAATATGAACTTTGAATCATCAAAATAACATAGGAAATCAACAACATGCAAATATAATAGCTTTCAACGAAAATCCCTAATCTAACAATAAGATTAGAAACAAATGAAGTATACTCAATCCCTACGTTTACTAAGCTCGGCAGGGGCTATAAATAGCCTCATACAAAGACTCACAAAAATAAAAGGACGACAATGCCCCTAGGGCTTATTTACGACCTCCCTTAATAAAAGAGTACAACAGGAAACTAGTAAAATAAATATAATCTGATCATAAATAAGAAAATACATAAAACAACTCAGAAATACAATGACTCAATCGTGGCCGTAGATCGACAGCCACATCTCTGATAGACTCTCCACGATCTGATGTCCCCATCACTAGTTAAAGAAAATCAAGCTCAAGCTAATGGGTAAGCTTGAGGACATGATTTATAAGGAGATCCATTGCCAAATTTTTCAGAGGTAGGAGGACAGAAAAAAAGATATGGATTTACATAGCATTGCTGACCAAACTGCATAATATGATCAAAATGTTATTTGGGGATTGCATATAAAATATTTTGCCATTGGAACTAATTAGGAAGTTTGAGGTGAAGTGAATAAAATAGGAAGTTCTACTTGCTATGACTTGGGGCTAGAACAGTTAAGACATGGATTGGATACATGTTTTTGAAATTCTACGAACATCCTATCAATATTAATTTGAATTAGGAATTCGTGGTTGTCTTTAGCTGAATAAGCTTAGTTATTTACCCCCTGAAGAGTCTAAAATAGTAGGTTAGTAGGATTACATTATTTTATAGCACTTTCATACCAAAATAGGATTTTCTGTAATTTTAAAAAATCAGCTCACGTCTGGTAAAACAGACCCAAATATCGAATAAGGCCCAATACATCTGTAAATGGTACGAATGGCCATTTTTATGCTTAAATACAATTTAATAGGAAAAGATAGGGAAAAAAGAACTTGTTTGAACATTGCAAATATTCCAAATTCATCTAATCTTTCAGCATTTCTTGCCTTTATTTCCCTATTTCTGTAGATTCTTTTTAAACCTATGTTTGTCCAAGAAATGCATGGTTTTGCTAGTTGCACCAACCCCCTGTGCTTGTTTGAAACACACCTTTGTATGGATGCAAGCTTTGGATCATTGAAAGATAATTGCTTTTTCAGTCCACTTTTGTTGCAAATATTGTTCTATAAGAACTCAACAATTTAGGCATTGCTTTAAACTTTTCTTTGATTTTTTGGTACACATTTATCTTTAAATAGGCTTCACTTCATGATACATTAAGTATGACCATCAATTATGGGATCTTGAATTTGGATTTGATGATGAGTTTATTTGTGGTATGGTTTATGTGCATTATCCTGCCATAATCCTTTATCAATATTTAACCAGTAGAAGTATGATATCTTGGATTAACTCTTTTTTTCTCTAGAATCTCTACATCAAAGAAACCTTGGATGATATTCGGAGCAATCCTCTGCTCCTCTTCTATTACTATTCAACTGGATAAAAAAAGAATATATATATATATATATTATATATATATATATATATATATATATAAAAGAAGTTTCCCCTCAAGATAATCCTGCTTATGATGCTTCTTATGATGATCCTAAAGTGGTGGAAAGTTAGGTCTAGATATGTAGCTTTCCTTCTAATTTTTCTTCTTGATGTCTATCTTCCATATGTAGTGGGATAAAGGTGTGAATGCTGTTGTTGTTGTTGGTGTCTATCTTCCATTTGTTGTTCTTCCTTCCTCATCTTGATTTTGTGGCAAGCACTTGATTTCTAGGAGTTTAGATTTGCAATCCAATTTTTTTCATTCAAAGTTAGTTTGTTACTACCATTCTTTCAGATTGTTTGGCCATGCTAAGGAAATCATATGAATACAAATCTCATTTGTTCTGTCTAACTCTTGATCTTTCCAAAACATGTTACATTTCTAGAAGGCTTAACTGTGCTGGTGCTGAAGTACTTTTGATTGTCAACAATAGAACATTTTTCATCGACACAGTTTCATTACCAGTAAGGCTGTCCAGAAGGAGAGAAAGATGAAAGTGTGAATCTTGAAGCTCTCTTTCTCAAAAGGAAACCTTAGTTACATCCTTGCTAAAATCTAGACCTTCAGAAATGTTCTAGCTGTTCTGACCCCATGTTGTCGAAAATATTTCTGGATCACTTTTCTTGAATTTCATGCTGGTACGAGGGGAAGGGAAGTTTGTTATGTACAGACACCTTAACCAAGGGCCATATTGTTGGGTCACTTCGTTTTGGATACTGGGCTTTAGAAGCCTATATCTATTGTCATGTCAGAAGGAACTTCTCATCACTCATTTGTCTGTTTGTGATGGGAAAGTTCAGATGTTGATAACTAGAAGGATGCCTGTTGTCCAAAGGAGAGTATGCAACTTAAACATTAATTGATGAAATGCATCTGTAATGAAAACTTGTATGATGGAAGCATAAGAGCCAAAGTCTTTTTTAATCGTGACTCCTCACTACATAATATAATGGAGTATTTATATACATAGCACAATATTTGTATATATTTTCATATCCAACGTTTAAATCATTATACTTCTAAAATATCATAATGTTTAAATCACATCAAAATATATGCATGAAAAGATATAATTTATTTTAGACAAGTTGAAGTTGTGTTATCTTTTATGTGATTTAGAGAATATGATGTTATACGTGAAAAGGTTGGAGTAGCTCTAGTGGAAGATAGGATTAGAGAGAGTCGCCTTAGATGGTTTGGTCACATAAAACAACAATCTTTTGATGACCTGGTTAGGAAAGTAGAGGTATTAGATTTGAGTTATGTTAAGAAAGGTAAAGGTAGTCCTAAAAAGACTTGGTTAGAAAATATTAGAAATGAACTTTCTTTATTCGATTTAAACGAGAAATTGACTTTTAATAGACACAATGGAGAAAAAGTATTCATGTAGCCGACCCCACGTAGTGGGTCAAAGGCTTGATGTTATTGTTATAGAGAATACGATGCTATGAGCAAATATACAAATTTAGGTGTTAGTACTTAGATATATAAATACATAAAAATTCTATGTTATATATGTAAATCCCTCTAGTATTACTGGGAAATGGCAACTGCTTTCACTGCCCTGTTGAGGCGAGGCAATTGTGGTTCATAATATTTCTTCCATAATCTGTTGCTATCTTCTTACTGGATTGGCCATAGCGTTCAGTATATTTTTATATTTACTAAACAAATGTTTGTTTGACATCTATTATCCACCTGATACTGAGATAATCATTCCTGTTCTTGATCTGGACTCTTTTTATGATATATTAAAATGTTCACTGCAAAGTCCGCATAACTTCTTGTTGCTTCAATTTTAATGCCTATCTTTCCTAAATTGCCTACATTTTCATCTGAACCTGCACATTACATCTTACTAGCAGACATTGAAACCATTCCAAACCCATTTGGATTCTGCAACTCCACAAAATAAACTCAACAAGACGCAAAAGTCCATTCAAAATTTTCCTATTTGGTTCATTTCTTATTCTCGCGGGCTCGCCCGAAATTGAACCCTTCAAAGTTTTTCTGTTCCAATCACAATTGAACCCTTGAAAGATCCCACATGAATAAAGAAAGCTGCTTATGAACCAACAGCTTAAGCTAACATCTGGTGGTTTCTCTCATCTTTTACAGGTTCAATGCAGTAATGAACAGCTGGGCTGCAGCCTTCAACTGGGCCCCTGGAGTCGCCTTCCAAATCCGAGACGTCCGAGCTCGCGTATCCGGCGACATGGCCTGGGTCACCATGAAAGCTTATATCGACTTGGATTCTGATCAATTCTTCATGACAAATGTCTATGAGTTCCACAAAGGCCATTGGTACATGGTTCATCATCACAGCACTATAATGGTCATGGATGGAGACCCTGGCCCAGGCCAACCCAATGGTTTTGCCTGAAGGATACACTCAATAACAAAGCTTCTGCTTCCCTCCCTAGGTCCTTTTCTTTCTATTACTACTTTGGGATTTATTTCCTTACTTACCTTGTAGATCGCTACTGTTTATACTATATTTTTTTTCCTTAAGTTTTCACCTTGTAGAGGCACCCAATGTTTTGTCATTAAGGCTTTGTTTGGGACGACTTTTTTATTGCTTCCTAAAGCAGCTTCTTAGTATAAAAATTTAAATTTTTGTACTAGGATGTTGCTTTAGGAAGCAGAAAGAAAGCCGCCCCAAACAAGGCCTAAGTAGAAGATGCATCAGCCTTTTTTTTCTTCAACTGGAGAAGTGTATTTCTTCTGTAGGAAGGGGATATAGGCTTGCTGGAGAGGAGGCTAGTTGTGCAGAACTCTTGTCACTATGCCTAAGAGGTTTTGGTAAGTCTTGGTAAGGTTTTTATGCCTGATTTATTGTGAATTATATGTGATTCAGTGAAAAAAAAAATGTAATACTAATTTGTTATTCCAAGCAAAAATTTAATCTTTAATTATTTGTTTTAATTTGTAGTTTGGCTAATGTTTTATTTGGGACAGCTTTCTTTCTAAAATAATTTTTTTCGTATAAAATTTTTAGTTCAACTGATTTTTGTACAAAAAAAATTATTTTAAAAAGCAATAAAAAAAGTTGTTCCAAACAAAATTTAAGTGAGATGAGAACTAATAACATAAAACTGAGCAGCGTTTATCTCTAATAAAAAAATATTTCTAATATTTTATAATTAGATTTTGGTAAGTCTATCTCTATTTTTCTTAATATAGGATGGATTAAACGGTTTGATATTTTATATGACCAAATTATCTAAGATGGTTCAATCTAATCTTATTTTTCCATAAAACTGAGTGATCCTCTTAACTCTAAAATTATTGAAATTGTTGTATGGTCTTCATATATTTCTATAAGGTTTGTATAAATCTTTGAGTCTTTCAAAATTTCTCTATCAAATACAACGATGGAAGAAATGTGGCTGCGGTGATGGGCTCGCAGGCTTCGTTTGGTTGTAGAAATCATTTGATAGGAAACACTTGAAGATCTCAAGTATTTCCTATCAATCTTATGAAAAGAGTGAGCTTTCTTATCAAAATCCACACAAAAACAGGAAAATAGTAAAAAAAGTTGTAATATTTGATGAAATGGAAGCGGAAAATAGCGATACGATTGATCCTCTATTCGAGAGGAGGATCATTCTCTCCCAATCTCTAGACGCTGCTAGAGCCTAAAAGAAATCAAAGAGATCACAAAATTCAGCTAAATTCAAGATGCCTTAACCCTAGCAAAATAAAGTATTTAATGAATACAAATCAAAAGGAATTTCCTAAACACTCTCTACATTCAAATTTCCCTTCCAAATCCCTCAAAAATCCTTCCTAAAATGACTCTCGTGGACCTGCGGCTCGCAAGGCGTCTGCAACCGGCGGAGTTTTCTCCGTTGTTTTGCGTGTTTGGAACGGTCTAACTTCATTATGTAAAATTTTAGTGAGAAACGGTTGTTTCAAAAACTGTCTTTTTTTAAGGGAGAAATAAAAATAAAAAACTTTGAAAATCAATAAGAAAATGGAGATTTGAAAAGCATAGTTTTACAAAAGTTATGCATCCAAACAACAAATTAAAATTGGCAGATAGAAGAAGCCAGTAGAAACAGACAAACAAACGAGGCCTAAGTGGTAGTGCGGCAACTTATGCGGTCTATTTGAAAATTTGCGGTATTTGGAATACACCAAAAATAATTCCCCAAAAATAAATTAAGGGGGGAGTATAACATATTTCAAAATTTTAATCTATATTCTTTTTCATACAACAAAATGCCAAAAGGAATGCAATGCACAGAAAATGTAGCAAACCAAAAAAACCCATAAGATATAGATGTATATAAATTTTAAATATAAACTATATATTAAATACACTTAAGGAATCAAGGATTGCTTAAGCATATAATCTCATGCCATTTAACTTATTCATATGATTTTTTTCATATCATTTATGGAAAAATTAATTTTTTTTTCCAATTTCAAAATCATGACTTCCTAATTTTATATTTAAATAATTTAGATATTATTTAGATATTGTTTATTTTATTTAATAATTTTTACAATCATTATTTTTTATGATAATCATTAAAAATATTAAATAATTTTAAAAATATAAAAATATTTGTGGAGGTTAATTTCATTTGCAAGATTACATAGTCAAATCCTCTTAAATATTAGACATATGTATTTTTCTTTGTTTTAAAACTCTCTTCAAAATTTGAAAAGTAAAAAAATTTTAATTGCTTCGATTAATTGAGGCTTAATACATGTTTGTCAGTCAGATAATTTTAATTTTTTTTTCAAATTATTTAATATTTCTCAAAAATTTTTACTCATATATGATAATTATGACAAAAATTTAAATAATTTTCAAAAATATTTTTAATATTTTGAAATGCATTATATTAATTAGAGATATTTGAAATATTAGTTAGTTAATCTTTTATCATAAATTGGCTAGTGCTCCAAAGTTTTCTAATTATTTTCTATTTTTCTTAACTAATTTTTTTAATTTAAAAATAGGGTTTGTAACCTTAACCTCCTACTTGAGTTAAGCTCAGGTTTCAAATATTATTTCATTTTTAATCTCAACTTGAAGCAGCAAAGTTCATTCTTTACCATGGTGCTTGGTTAGTAGGCTTGCTCCATTATACGAACTTTGTTCGATCTTTCTACAAACTGGCAAAAATACACTTCAGAATAATTAAATATAATAATTATGTGAGACGTCGTAATAATTATTTTAAGTATGTATATTTAATTATATAAATCATTAAGTGGTCCATATATTTGAATTATTGTATTTTAATTATTTAGATGAAATCCTATTGGTCAAGAAGAGATGATTTGATCAATCATTTATTGACCGTTTGATCACATAACTCCTATGAGCGGTTATTGTAACCAATCCGTAGGAAATAACTACCGGTCCTTTTTCTCTCTCTCTCATTATGAGGGTTGGTTTGCTCCATAGAGAATTAACTCATGAAAGAAGAAAGTGAAGGGAGAAGGGAGAGAGAAATCATAGTTTGGAATTCGACGAATTCAAAATGAATCAAGATATATTTTTCTTTTGATTAAAGGATTGTGAAAATCATCTTGTTTAAGATCTTGAGAATTTAAGTCTTATGTAAATTAAAGTTTTCCGTTTCAATTTCTTTTACATAATTTATGATGCGAGTTCTTGCAAGAGTTAAAGAATTCATAATGAATGTTTGGAGTTCTTGTAAATTTAGAGAACTTAATCTTATAGAAAGTTCTTGTATGAATTCAAGAACTTGAATCTTATATATGATTAGTCCTCGCTAGATATTTAAGAACTCCATAAAGTCTTACAACTTCAATTCCCCCCACATAAAAAATTCGTCCCGAATCCGACCCGTCGACCCGAATTGACACCCCTATGTAATTACCTCCGTTTTTTTTACTTTTTTGTATTTGTAATAATTTTTTTTTTCAATATATACGTGGCCTCTAATTTTCCCAAAAAAAAAAAAAAAAAGATAACCGCTGAATGGATCATTTCTAACCGCCTCTGAAATGCTAGATAATATTTTCTTATAAAACTAGGATTTTGGACCAGAGCGAGCGGGACGCAAATGTCTACGGAAATGGAGTTCGAGAAGCCGCCGCCGGGCGCCGTAACGACGCCCCTGTTGATCGAGAAGGCGATGAATTCGACGGCCCAGGAAGTGGACCCGCGCATCCTCAAGGCCATCAAGTCGGCAGCCCGCTTCTCTGACGAGGAGATCCGCGCCGCTGTGGATGCCCTAATGGACCAGATGAAGAAGCCCCACTCCCAGGTTCTTTTTGTCTTATTTTCTCAAGAGAATGTTCTCAGTCCTTGGACTTGTGGATAATTATGAACTCTTATGTCAAGACGAAAGAATTATATAGTTTATAGTGAATATATATATTTGTAATGATTGATGGATTGGTTAGGGTTGGAGAAGCGAGTGGATTTGTGAGTAAATTGCTTGGTTTCTATTGAATGAAAGGTTTTTTACTTTGGATTTTAGGACCTGTATTTTTGCGTCCCTTTCTCATGACTTACTTTTGAAAATGCCTGTGATTTGCGCCTCTTTTTGTTTGCTTGATGGTATTGTACCGTAAATTAGTTGTTAAAGTTCAATTTTACTTTTCATCTATTAAATAGAATTAATAATGAGGGGATATTTAATGCGCGGGAGAGTGGTTCTTCGTGCTCTGAGGAAGATATATTTTGTTGAAGTAGCTTTTGTTCTCACATGGATGTAATAAGCTCTTATATTTTGTAACTGGAAGTGACAATTGGTTAAATGATGGTGGAGAATGAGAATGAGAATTTGATTTCTGTAGTCTTCTATCATTACAAAAAATGAAAATGATTGGTTCGCGTTATTGGTCCTATAGCTGGAATGTGAAGTTTCTGATTCCAAACGAGAGATTCGGGTTGATTTCAGGGTTTCTTTTGGGTTAGCATAGTAATGTTTTGCTATTTTGGTGCTAAAAATGTACATGATTGTTTTTTTTTCTTTTGGCTGAAGCCTGCAAGTTTAGATTTCTACACTGAGAACTTCATCACCAAAGAATGAAATCATTTGTGCTCACATCATGTGATCCTCGAGGAATATTCATTAGGATCTCTTTAAATTTAATCTTCTCATTTATCCGATTGCTGCATTTGAATTTATTATCATTAATGTCTTGCAGGTGCGCTACCTTGCAGTTCTTATTATTGATGAATTGTTTATGCGTTCAAAGCTTTTCAGAAGCCTCTTTGTGGTCAATTTGGATCAGTTTTTGAGCCTAAGTGTTGGTTTTAGGAAAAATCTTCCTCTACCTCCCCCTTCAGCAATAGCTACAAATTTGCGCTCAAAGAGCATAGAACTATTGGAGAAATGGAATGCTTCTTTTGGAATCCATTACAAACAACTCAGATTGGGTTTTGATTACCTAAAGGATACTCTAAGGTATCAGTTTCCAAATCGTCTCGAAAATGCAGCTCGACTGCAACAGGAGAGAAGAGAAAGACACCTGAGAACAATGCAGATTCTTCTCAATAAATTTGAATATCTGAAGGAAAACTTTACCTCTATCAAATTTGATATTCAGTCAACAGTAGATGAAATAGGAGAATGTTTGGAGATTGCTAATGCCAAAGAAGAAAATGCTTTTGAATTCCCTGTTGATGGTGATGAAGTTGAAGAACTCAACTCACTTACATTACGCCAAATACGTCTAGAATCTTTGAGGGAGGGAGAGAAGGTTCAGGAAAACAGCGAAAACAAGGCAATCTTTGATGCATTAAGGGAATCACACAAGCTTCTTATCACAAAGCATTTGTCATCTGTGAAAGAGTGGATATCCATCCTTGTGAGAGTCGATGCAACTGACAACAAATTCAGAGATACTGCATTAAAAGAATTCATCGATCTTCGTAATCTCATTCAATCACTCGAGAAAAAATGCACTGATTTGGGTATTGTTCTTGATCCAAGCATCGCTCAGAAAGAAGATGAAGATTTGTGGGAAGAAGGGAAGATAGAGGATTACAAGCCAGAGTGTACTACTGCTTCCACAAGTACAACTGAGGACTTCTTCACTAAACCAGCGAACCAAAAGAATGAAAATACAGCTTCAGTGGAGAGCGAGACTTCTGCTGGTAACTTTGTAAGTTCAATAACTGACAGGGAAAAACTCTTAGCTGAGGCACCTGTATTGACATGGAGTCCTTTCATGCTTGACAAATGTGCTGCCCAAAGTGGGGTTTTAGCTAACCAGAGGGGCTTAGAGATCGAGGGTCATTGGGGTAGAGTGGATCCAGATGCCATGATCCCTGCAGAAAAAATTGCAGAGCTTAATTTTCATTGTACAGTGTATAAAGAACAACCAGTTGAGATCCGGCCATGCCTTGCGCCTCTTAAAAAGGGTGGTCTCTGCCAGAGAAGAGACTTGAAGGTGTGCCCTTTCCATGGACCTATTATACCACGAGATAATAATGGCAATCCTATAGAACAAGGTTTGAAGACTGTAGTGAGTGATAGTCAGCCTTCTCAGGAAGTCGGTGAAGAACTAACAGGGAAGGAGTCTTTTACAGAGGCAATTTACTTAAAAACTGAGCAAGCAGACTTACAAGATTCTCGATGTCCAGGCAAAGAAGTGATTGAAAAACTTGCTAAACAGGCAGTGAAGAATGTGCATGAGCGAGATAGAGAAGCAAAGGCATTGAAGCGAGCAAAACTTGCGAAGATTCGCAAGCACAACGAAGAAGTATTACGAGATTCTGCAATTGCTTCAACATCATATTCAGAACTTTTTGCTGAGCATAGTGTAGAAGCATTGCGTGATAATGGAGCTGGTGTCAAGGTGAAGAAAACAACACTAGCATCAATGCTGAAGAAGAAAGTAACTGCAAAAGATCGAATAGCTCGGAGGCTTTTGGGCTCCCGAGCAACTGATGCTTCAAGTAGACAGGTTACACTGGGTGAGGATTCCAAGTACAGAGAAGCTTTTCCCAACCAATGGTAGGAAAAATAATTTGTGCATCAACTGTTCAAATATACTTTTGTTAGATTATATGCTCTCATGTGACCATCAATTTGCTTTTTATTTTTTATTTATTTGGCAAGATAGGTGAATCGCTTGAACCACAATGTAAGTCTATTCATGGGGACAATTTCTGCAGCATTATTGTGTCATACTTGAACATTATGGGAGAGAGTTATTGAGCATAGGTTATGACGTGAAACTAATATTTCACAAAATTAATTTGGATTCATGTTGGGTAGTTCTATTATGGAAAGTTATACATTTTTAAAGAAGTTTGATGGAGAAGTTTAGTGAGAATAAGAAAGATCTACATATGATATTTATTGATTTAGAGAAACTTATGATTCAAGATAAATGCTTTGAAGAGTTTTAAAAAAGAAGAGATTAATAATGCTTATATTCAAGTAATTAAGAATATGTATGCAAGAGCAATTACTTGTGTTCAAACACGTAGCGGTTTGAACAAATATTTTCCTATTTTAGTTGGATTACATCAAGGATCAGCTTTAAGCTCATATATTTTTGCTTAAGTCGTGAATGTTCTTATTAGACATTTGTAAGATGATACATCCTATTGTATGCTTTTTGTTGATGATATTCTTCTTGTTTATAAGACTAAAGAGGGAGTTGAAAGTAAACTTAAATTATGGATCTAAACTTTATAGTCTAAATGTTTTCATTTGAGTAGATCTAAAATCGAATACATGAGATGTAATTTTAGTAGTAATAGATCTAGTGGGTCGATTGTGGCTTTGGGTGATCAAGTCATTAATAAGAGCACATATTTTAGATATCTCGGGTCCATTATTCAGATGTTGATATTAAAAGTAGAATTCAAGTTGAATGGTTGAAGTGGGGGAATGGAAAAAAAAGAAAAAAGCTTATAATACACGGGATAATTAAAATATCAGAAATGATCATTTTTATTAGATTTAAATAAGAATTTGACTTTTAATGAGACAATTGAGAAATATGATTAATGAAGCTAACCTCATGTAGTGAGATAATGGGTTGATGTTGTTGTTATTGGTATATAAACAAAAACAAGCCTTTAACCCATTACATGGGGTTGGCTACATGAATATGTTTTTTCCATTTTATCCTATGATGAGTCAAATTCTCATTTAAAGCTAATTGAAAAATACCATTTTTAATATTTTCTAATCAAGTCTTTTTAAACATATCTCTATTTTTCTTAACATAAGTCAAATCTAATACATCTACTCTCCTTACAAGTTACAAGACTGCCATTTTATGAAAAAAAAAACTTGTAACATCGATGATAATTAAAAAAATCACAATAATTCTAAAAATCCTAAAATTTTGGTATCATAAGCATATTTTAACATCATGGAAATTCAATTTCATGCTATCAATGGCTAGTTGACTTATTTGACTTTGCTATGACTTATAAAGATTCCCCATATTTTTTTTGAGCAAGGGTGTAAGTGAGCTAAGCCGACTTGAACTTGACTTGTTAACAAACTTGTGAACCGAGCTTATTGAGCCAAGAGCTTGAGCTCGAGCTTATTTAAGCTCGGCTTATGAGCTCATGAACTGGCTCAAATCACAATTCTTATTTTTTTAAATATTAAATTGAATATTTTAAAAAATTAATAATAAATGTAGTTTTTTTTTTTAAATCCCGCTTGCTGTGTTAATAAATGCTAGTGGATTTGCAATTTGAGGCGCATCACGTGGGAATTCTAATTTACGAATAGTTCACGTGTGAAACGTAGCGGAAGCTCGAGTGCGGAACTCGGTTACGCAAAGGGCTCGTGTGCGGACTGCGGGCTTACGTGCGGATGCGAATGACGAGGACTGGAGAGGTGAAAAACGCGGGCTCGAATCGTGAAGTTGAGCAGCTCGACAAGCCATTTGCAGTGCGAAGAGTCGAGCTCGAGCTTGCCGTTTGAGCTCGAGTTCAAGCCGATTTTTCAACTAAAGAGTCGAGCTCGATAAGATCATTACTCGGCTCGACTTGATTTAAATTTTCTCCTTTTAATTTACATTAATCTAAATGATGGAAAATTGGTTAATTATTCATGCTAACTTATTAAAATTAATTATTAAAAATATATTTAGGTGTTAAAAAGCATTTTAAATATATTTAATTATTTAAAATGGTAACTATTTTAAAATGTATTCATTAATTTTTTATTTAGTACAAATAAATTGTAGTGTGAAGCAAATCATGTAAAGTAAATATGACTATTTTTGTCATTCTGATTCATAATGCATATTAATTAAATTTTAAGAAATAATTGAACCATATATATAATCATTGATAATAATTTAAATAAATAGTTAATTAATAAATAAATAAATGAGGAATTTACATATGTAGCATTCATTATTCTATCATTTCCCTATTTAACAATATTGGTAAAAAGATGATATCGGTTGACCGTCGTTGCCCTTTGTTGCTTGCCATGCCACAACCTACCCTTGTCTGCAGCCAATCGTCACCATCATAATCGGCTGCGCCCACTGCTATAACCTTTCTCACCCTTCATCATCGATAAATTATTCTATGCGGTTACCTCCAGAGGTGAATCAGAACACACCACATCATTTGATACCGAATGGTACACAACAAAAAAATGACGTGAGATATTCTCATTCGCCTTTGGATGCCGTTCGATAACCACACAAAATAATTTCTCCTCATTATCGACCATCACCATTCAACTATTATTCTAAATACATTGTTATTTATTTTGAATTCCCTTATCTAAAAAGATTAAAAAAATTACATATATAAATATACTTAATCCAAACAACTAAAAAATATAATTGATATATTATTTTAAATTTAACGGGATTATTTTTTCATCAAACCGAACATCCCCTAAATAAAAATAAAAATTTATTTGTAGGTTTTAACCAGCGAGATAAATTAGCAAGAGCCTGTGGAGGTTCGTGGAGGTGAGGCAGAGAGAGGGGAGACGAGAGAGACTGCGAGAGGATCGAAGAGGGAGAGAGTGAGGGACACTGAGAGAGGGACGGGAAGGTAGCAGATGGGAAAAAGGTTTATAGAGGCACAGCGAGGGCGAGGCTTGGTTGCTTAATTCTGATGGTCACTGGCATGGAGCTAATCAAAGATGGTATGATGTCAAGTTTCTCCTCCTTTCCTTCTTTCTTCCCTTTATTCCTTGTCGTTCTTCATCAATGGAGGAGATGCAGGCTATGGGTTGATAGCAAGAGTATTTACTGGAATTAGGTCTTTCGTTGATCTTTCGTCTTCTTTACGCAAGCTTAAAGGTTTGGGGAACCTATTTAAATCAAATAATATTTTTATTTGTATGCTTACATGTAGTTTTTTCAGTAGTGTTGTGTTTCGATTGAAACATATGAATATGTTGTTTACATCAATCTTATTCGAGGTGAAGTATAACCCAATTACATGTGAATTGTGTAACCTTTCTTGTACTCGTCTACACTTAAACCAACATCAATCTTATGCGACTTAGATATATATTTAACTAGTAATGACCTAGTTATACTTGAATTATGTGTTTCCTTACCTATCATGGAGACTTCATGATGCAGATCAAGTTAAAAGCACAGGATAAGATCACAAATCAAGGTGCTGCATCAAGATTTGGACTATTTATCATGCTCAACTCTCCTTGTAAGCTTATAGATGAGCTATAATCTCTTTGAAATCATTGAAGAATAATTGTGTAAGATATTTTAATGGCCAAGGGGGTCATACCAATCAAGGAAGTAAATTTTTAAAAATTGATTTATTTTAGGACCTCTTTACTTGCATTATTTGGTCATTCCTAATATTCATCTTTTTGAATGTTTTAAAATTTCTTTATTTCTCCCTTTTTTGTATTATGATAATTATTAATCAATGTAATATTATTTTATTCTATCTTTGATTCATTGAATAAAAATTATTTTTGGTTGTGTAACTTTTTGTGGGAAGTCTTGGTAGCAATTCCCTTACGGTTTTAGTAAGTCCTTGGCTATTTTTTCTCACTCTTACTCCAATTTTCTAAAACAGTTCTCATCTATTCAACAACACCTCAGTCTTAGCTTCCCTTAATCTTAAAACACATTCAACATCTTGAAAACTCTATCAAACATTTCATCACATCCCGCATAACCTCCCAAGGCCTCAAGTACTCTTCAATAACCCTAAATTATCCTAACGAAAATCTTAATATGGAGACAATCTATGAGCATGAGAATTATTTACAACGCTTTAATCACTAATTCAAAATCTACAAAAACACTCAAATTAGTTCCCTAACTCCCAAACTTTTGAGTTGGAGTTTTCCTTTTCTTCCAAGAAAATGTGCCCTTTTGATATCCTAGAAGTTTCATCAAATTTGTCCAAATCCTGAATACCCGTTTCACCACACGTAAATAACGTTTCCATCAGCATTCTAAAAAGACACTAATCAAGTGCTTACATTCATCATAAAATTCTTATAAATCTTACAACACTTCAACTTGGTAGATATAGGAACTCTTAACAATCCACTTCTATATCAACACCATGAATGATTAAATGAAGAATGGCATCCCCACCCAACAAACTTTAGTTACAGATTAGTCACATTTAGTAAATAATTACTCAACCTATACTCCTGTGCAGATATCATATGCATAGTTGGTGAATGTAATGAAAGACAAAAAGTACTTCCGTTGGCTGTCCTTTGTTCATGCAACTCTATTTTTTCTATCCATCAAAATGTTATGCTTTCCATAAAAACCACGACCATGACAAAGAATATTTCCATTTCTACAATCTTACCGAGGAAAGTATTAAAATTAGAAAGCTCAAGAAGGATCTTTAAATGATATTTATTGATTTAGAGAAAACATATGATGAAGTTCCAAGAGAAATGCTCTGAAGAGTTTTAGAGAAGAAAGGAGTTGATAATAATTATATTCAAGTCATTAAAAAATGTATACAAGAGTTATTACTTGTGCTCAAACACAAGGTGATTTAATTGTATTTTTCAATTTCAATTGGATTACATTAAGGATCAGTTTTAAGCCCATATCTTTTTGCTTTAGTCATGGATGCTCTTATTAGATATTTGCAAGAGAATGTACCTTGTTGTATGCTTATTGTTGATGATATTCTTTTTGTTGATCAGACTAAAGATGGAGTTGATGAAAAACTTGAATTGTAGAGGTCAATTCTAGAGTCAGTTTGTTTTCATTTGAATATATCTAAAATCAAATACATGAATGTAATTTTAGTAGTAATAGATATTGTGGTGAGATTATAACATTGGGTGATCAAGTCATTGAGTGCTCGTTTTAAATATCTTAGATCTATTATTCAAAGAGATGGTGAAATAGATAGGATATTTTTTTTTAGAATCAAGTTGGATGGTTGAAGTGGAGGAATGCATTGAACCTATTGTATGATAGAAAAAGTACACCTCAAACTTAAAAGAGATTTTTATAAGATGGTGGTAAGACATGCAATACTTTATGGTACAGAGTATTGGCCCTTAAAAGAGAAGCATACAATTATGATAAGTATTGTAGAAATGAGGATGCTAAGGTGGATGAGTGACTTTGCACTTAGAAATAGAATGCAAAACAAGTGCATATATGAAAAAGTTATTGTAGCTCCAATGATAGATAAGTTGAGAGAGAGTTGCCTTAGATGATTTGGTAACACAAAATGTCAGCTTTCTGATGACCTTGTTAAGAGAGTAGATACATTAAATCTGATCTATGTTAAGAAAGGTAGAGGTAGATCTAAAAAGATTTGATTAGAAAGTATTAAAATGATTTTTTATAAGATTTAACTAAGAATTTGACTCTTAATAAGACAATGTAAAAAAAAAAGATTCATGTAGTCGACCCCACGTAGTGGGATAAACGCTCATTGTTATTGTTGTACTAGGAAAAACCTATTTAGCCCTAAGCCCAAACCGGATTAATTGAGGCCTTAATTAGAGTTCTGCTTTGTAATTTAGGAAGGAAATACAAATTCTGTTTTTTTTCTTTCTCTAATTCTTTATCATAGGAATTTACATATACTCAAAAGGTCTCCGCCTCACTTCTTACTACATTAAGAAGCACAACGTTAAGCTTGAGATCGAATCACAGTGATCATGGCTCAGGGTCATGTTTAAAAGGATGTGAGATTACTTTTCTCAACAGAGGTAAGACTCCCGGGTAGATGGATGATGTGTAATTAATGAAGATGCCTTAACACAACTTAAAATGTTAGTTGTAGTTAAGAAACAAAAAAAAAAAAAAAAAAAAAAATTCTAATGAGCTAAGTTAACAATGATCTCACCCACTTAACAACTCAATAATTATGCAACTTTTAAATTTTCCATCTTGCTTACTTGACAATTTATTATCTACTCAGCAATTATTACAAAAAAAAAAAAAAAAAAAAATCATATGGATTTCTTTAAAAATTCATAAATCAGTTATCATGTTAAAATCTTAAGTATTCAAAGGATGAAAAATCAAACCCTAAATTCAGATTTTTCTATTTATGACAACATCCACACTTAGAATAAGTGCAATCATTTATAAGTGGCAAGTCTATAGATGTTGCCTAAGGAGTCCAAAGCTTTGGCGTAAGGTGAGATCTATTTAAGGAGATGACATTTTAGGATGTATTAAGGAAAAAAAACTAAATAATACTTGGTAGCAATATCTCAGGTTGTTTGACCGCAAGTATTAGAAGTGTTGATTGAATCAAATACGGGCATTTGAAATTTTTGATGTTTTGTTGGAGGAAAAACATATATGGAGAATTTTTTTCGATGTTTTTAGAACTGCATGGCCCGTTCATTTTTAATGTATTTATTATTCATCAGATTTGAGTTAATTTCATATACTCTACGGGTGTGAAACTATTCCTGTCATCGCTGCCTGTCTCTAGTCGTCACTACATTTGGCCACCTCTTCCAATGCCACCCACCGCTAGTCATTGGCGCTGCCCACCAACATCATGGCTAGTCAACATCGTATGTCAAATATGGATTTTACTTTGCCAGCAACCAAGCAAAAAAAATTAAACTCCTAAATTTCTTCTACAAGCAATTAAACATTGCAAAATACTATTCCTTCTTGGTATTCATTATACTCAGTGAACCATTTATGATACGGACTTTGAAGACTATGAGGTGTCTTCCATTAATTTTCTCTAAGAAGTTTCTAAATTGGCTATTTTGGCTTGAGGTGTAATGATCAAGCTAGTTCTATTATATTATTCTTGGACTCAGCCAAACTATATTTTAATTGATTGATTTGACTTTGGAATTTGACATTTTGCTTGTTGCTTAAAGCATTCGAAATCATTGTTCCAAATAGACAGCAATCTTGATAATTCTTTAGCAAACTTCTTGCTATTTTGCTTGGCATTACAAATTTCTTCAAAATAATATCCTTAATATCATAAATAAATTTCTTTCCTACTTATAAACTCGCTTCATTTAACCTCTGAAATCAATATTCTTGGCAACTAACTTCTTATAATCATTTAATGAGAAAAAAGAAATTTGTCAAGTTGAAATTAACTTTCTCATCATATGAATGTAGATCCTTTGACATCAATTTTTCAAGATGCTAGTGAAGGTAGTTATATAATATAAAAAAATTGAAATCAAAGGTTATTAAGTTTAACTTATTCTTTGCAAAAGTATACACTATTATCAATCACTATATAGTCTTTGTTATCTGATAGGATGGTCAACTTCTTTCATTTTTGTAGTTAGGCTTAGAACTTCCAACTAGATGATATAATAATTCATCTTTGCCTTCTCTATCTCTCTCTCTCTCTGATCTATTTTGCTTTTTAGCAAGCTTCTTCTTGCCAACTTCCCGTGAAGTTGTAGGTGCAGCAACTTCAACTGTGGATGGAACTTTGTTTTCTTGGACTACTTGACCAGTGCTTGGTCCTACCTTATTCTTCATGGCTTACTCTTCTTCTTCTCTTAGGAAAATTTGCCTCTTCTTATTGGGGGCAAGTCAACAGTCTGCACGAGTATATGATTTACAAAATCATTTAAGTTGTCCCTAGCCACTTGGACAATATAAGGGTTATCTCCATGAATCTAAATAGACAATATAAGGGTTATCTCCATGAATCTCAAAAAGTGCACATAATGAAAGATAAATGACTAAGTAAATTAAACTCCAATAGAATTCACTGTGGGCTCCTAAAATTCATATCATATGCCCTGACCTCTCTACGCCAGATCTCTTTTCTTATTTTTGTTTGTAACGGAGGAGAGTTTTAATAAATTTAGGGTCCAAAAGAATTTTCAGAAGACAGATTGGATTTTAGATAAGACACTACTAAGAGATGTCACCCTCTTTTTGTGAGGACTTTATGATCTGAGTTCTGGTTTCATATAGGTGCAAGCCCCTAT